AAAAAACAAATAAACATGATGCGAAGAAAAAACCTCACATAAAATGATTAATTTGCAAAACGCGTACAGCGAAGACCTACCTTTTCTTTCAACAGCTCAGAAAATTGCCCATCAGGTAGGAAAAACTCGCTGTGAACTTCGAGTCCGTCCGGCACGCCCTCATTATACTCAACACCTTTCATATTCCAATACTGGTCCAGTTTAGCTAAGATCTAGAAAGCGCAATAAATAAACAAGTAGCAAAGAGAAATCCAAAATTCAATGTACAAATTCTTTTAGCTACTATGTAACAGTCCTTGTTTAACATGAAGTAGATATGTATTGACTTTTGCAAGGAATGTTCACTCACCTGATCAATGGTAGGTCTAATGGCATAGCGTGGTTCGAAACGGAGATTCTTTTCAGATACGGGAAGATCTTTGCGCTTCCTTACAGTTTCAAAGTCTTCGTCGTTAAGAAAAATTTCTATGCCATCTTCTTCTCTTTCATAAATATGCTTCATATACATGTGGAGTGCACTCAGAGCGGCCCACTTTGTCACTCCTGAACAAGCTGTTCAAATCGGAAAAATTGTATAACGGCACGTATTCTAATCAAAACAGCTTCAGCAGAAACTAAACAAATTCACCGTTCGGAAGGGAGACGGTCGTTAAGACCACGCGACATCGTGTGCGCGGCAATCTGCAAACATCATGCTTGCGATGGAGCGCGCGCTCGCGGTGAACTCATTGTGTTATTGAAATTAGATTGTGTTCGCTTCAGTTTTCAGCCACGCTCTTCACTCTGTAGGACTTGGATTGCCACGACCGTTAGATTTGTTTTATTTGCATAACTAGAGCTATTACATAGCAATTAAAGTGCACAGAAACCTGCACAGATCTCAGTCGAGAGTTCAGTCAATTATCGGGCTGGTCCCTAATCATTTGACTGTCACAGTGCTTTCTGGACAGCATACTCTCAGAGCCTGTACTTATCGTCGTTTTGTTGAGGTTCTGCGGACTGTCCTGTGAAAAAAATAGCAGCGAAATGTCACTGTCGCCCTAACAATGCCATGGCGAGCGCGCTTCAGTCGCAAGCATACGGTATTTGCGAGTGTCGCGCGCGACGCCGCGTAGACCTACCGTCACATGCCTGTTCGGAATGAAACACGAACTTGATACTCGAA